AGCCTGCTTCTCCCTCTCCCACTCCCCCTGCTTGTGTTCCCTCTCGCTGTGTCTCTCTCTGTCAAATAAATAAATAAAATCTTTAAAATAAATAAATAATAAAAATAAAAACTATCCATGGAAACACGCCAGTCTTGAGCGCCCGCCGTGTTCCAGGCACTTCCCCCACGCCCTGCGATAGTCTGGGCTGTGAGGGCGGCCACCCCTGTGATGAGGCCTGAGGGAGAAGGAGGCTGAGCCTCTACCCTCAGGAGACAGACGGTGGAGTCCAGCACGGGTAAGCACAAACGAATAAGTGAAGGACTAATGGCAAAGGGGCCAAGGTGAAGCGTCATGGGGGATCTGTTTAGATGGATGACCAGGGCACCCCTCACAGTGGAGGGGCCTCTACACGCAGCCTGAGGGATGAAAACAGGCTGATCCAGTTCAAGGAGCCAGAGAAGCACTCTGTGGAGAGAGAGATTAGCACGTGCAAAGGTCCTGAGGAGCCGAGTTTGCGGGATCCAAGGCAGTGAAGGGAGCTGTATGTGGCTCCAGCTGTGGGTGGCCGCGGGTGGGAATGCCTGGGGGAGGGGGACAGAGGAGAGGATTGGTGTAAGAAGACGAAGTAGTGGAGGCCAGATCGTGAAGATCCCCACAGACCATAGTCAGGAGTTTGTACTTTCTTCTAAAAGCAACAGGAAGCCAATGAAGGGTAAGCAGGTGACTTGATTTAATTTACATTTCTGATGTAAACTATGATGGTGGGTTTTTTTTTAATTTAATTTTATTATGTTAGTCACCATACATTACAGCATTAGTTTTGATGTAGTGTTCCATGATTCCTTGTTTGCGTATAACATCCAGTGCTCCATTCAATATGTGCCGTCTTTAATACCCATCACCGGGCTAACCCATCCCGCCACCCCCCTCCCTTCTAGAACCCTCAGTTTCTTTCTCAGAGTCCATCGTCTCTCATGGTTCGTCTCCTCCTCCGATTTCCCTCACTTCATTCTTCCCCTCCTGCTGTCTTCTTCTTCTTCTTCTTCTTCTTCTTTTAACATATAATGTACTATTTGTTTCAGAGGTGCAGGTCTGTGATTCAACAGTCTTACACAATCCACAGTGCTCACCGTAGCACATACCCTCCCCAATGCTGGTTTTTAATGTGGCTGAAACAGCATACCACAATTCTCCTTTTGAGCATCAAAACACTGCCCTCATCCTCCTCCCGTCCCCTCCCCATGGTCCCCTGGGTCTGTTCTGAGGAGCTAATGTTACTGTCCGTTCCCCATCAGACCCCGTGAAAGTGTCCTCCCCGCCCGCTGCCCCAGCCTCCTCCCTGACCATGTTCCACCCGCCCTATCTGGGGGATTCTCCTCGCATGGGAACACCCCACAACCATGTTCTCCAAAGGCTCTTGATGCGGGCAAGGATGGCCCAGGGGGAGCGGGAGGTGGTGGGGGCAGGGGGAAGGAACACCCTTGTTGAAACTCTAGTTCTCAGCATCCCCAGGAGAACTCAGAATCCTCCCAGCCCTCACCTGGGAGTGAGGACAGCCACTCCCGACACACACTACCGGAGTCCAAAGCTGTGGATGGGGCACCGACGGGGCACTTTGCACCCATCCCCTGTTGGGTCCCCTTGAGGCTGCTGCTGAGATCTGCCGGCCAGATCTCCCCGACGTTCCCCTGAAAGCACAGGTGAGGACTCAGAGGAAAGGCACTGGCGCCCCCTGCTGGTCGTGCTCTTCCACAGCCGAGCTCACATCCGAGCGGAAGAACCCGCTGCTTCCCAGTAGCTTCCGTCCTTCACCATTTTAAGCCAAGTGTAGCAATTTATAACTAGGTAAAAAAGGAAATATTCTGTCAGCGGATGGATTGTTATGTGCACATATCCTCAAGCAATTGTTTGACGGATATTTTTTTTTTACCAAATTGACTTTCTTTTTAAGACTATATGGCTAATAGGAAAAGGCGATGGGTTTTTAAAGGGCATAATAGTCCGCCACTACAACCTGCTAGCCCTGTATGCTCCCTAGCATGCCCGAAGATTCCCTCCACTCAAATAGAGTAATAATATCGCTCACCTAACCAGGCGGCGGCCTCAGAGAGAGATCCCAGAGGTGCACTGTGGGCTGCCAGGGTTACGGGGCACAGAGGCTCCTGACAGGTGTTCGTGTGGACAAAGGAATCTGATCTGACCTCCGGGCACAGGTGACCAGCAGGTGCTAGGTGGCATTTAGTTCCAGAGTTTGCAAAATGTCTTGTGGAAGGGGTGCATTTTCTAATGCATGCCTGGCACCACAGGGGCTGGGGGTGACCCTGGGTGTCCAGCTCCAAAGTTCTTGCCTTTCCACTCGGCCTCACCAAGAGCCAGGGTACCCATAGAACGTGAGTTGAAATCCTGGCTTGGTGGGGGCCAGGGATGAATGAGCTCGAGCTGACATGCAAGGTTGCAACAGGAGAGAAAGGGATTCTCCTGATACCCTGAGTGCCTAGGGCATCACTCCCCACAGTGAAGAACTATACGGGAAGGCAAATCGTTATTGAGTTTCCTGATGAGCACAGAATCATCCAAGGGGTGAGGGCTGTGGGGGGGGATCTATCCAAGGGGTGAGGGTTGAGGGATCTTGACAGCTCATGGCATTGAACGACCTGGGGGATCTACCTGCGGAGGGGACCAGACAAGGTGGCTTTGACACCCTCCTCCCAACGACGGTGGATGAATGTTGGAAACTCACCTTCTCTGATGACTCTAAGTTGATCTTCCTTACGCTTTCTTTTCTCCTTCTTTCACATGTTGTTATTGGTATCTCAGGCATATAAACGAATGCCTCTATACAGGTCACTTTACCGGAGAAATCAAGCGCTGCAGACACAGCATGCACTCAGCTGTCTGTCCCCACCCCAGTCCTGCCTCCTCCCCAGCCCACAGGTGGCCACTACACTGAACTCGGGGTGGAGTCTTTCTTCACATGTGTTTGTAGCTTCACTACAAATGTATCCCAGAAATATCAGATTGCGTTGCCTGTTTTTTTAAATGTTATATTAATGGGATCATGCCCAGTTATACCATCATGATACTTAATTGTCGATACAGCGTTGTCTTGAGGGACGGCTCGTGTTGTTGCGTGTAGTTCCAACCCACTCCTTTTTCACTGCTGTGTAATATTCCGTTTTAGGGATTAGGCCATAGTTTATCCATTCATTCTCCTAACCGATGGACATTTCAGCTGTTTTTAGTTCTTCCCAACGACAAGCACTCCTGCAATGGACGTTTCTGAACACGTCACCTTGCACATACAAGTGAGGGTATCTCTGGCACTCACTCCGAGGAGGGGAATTGCCGGGTCTCGAGGAATGTGTGCCTCCAGCCCTACTCGATTATCACCAGCCGTTCTCCCATTTAGCTGTTTCCAATTTACCCTCCTGCCAGCAATGTGTGTGCCTTCCCTTTCTCTCACATTGGGCCAACCCTTGCCTCTCGGATGAATGGGAAATGGCATCTCATTACTGTGTTAATTTGCGTTTTTCGTAGTCTAGCCCTGAGGGCGTGAGCGTTGTTGACTGCACACTCTGGTTCCTCATCTGTGAGTTGCATTGGTATTAAGGTAATAAATTCCCCTTGCTGCCTAAGCTGGCTGAGTCAGGATGCTTGACTACCTGTGAGTCGAAGCTGCCTGGCGGTAAGAGCCATCCCTGAGGCTGCAGGCTCTACTCATCTAGGGTCAAGAGATGATCCATCTTTAAGGTCCCTCCTCAGAAGTTCTGAGCCCAGCAAGACTGTGTTGACTTTTCCCAGCTCTGCTGGCGCCCCGTGGTCACCCTGAAACCCCCACACCTGAGTCAGTCATTCCCAGCGTTGCTGTGATTCCCTTTATCTCCTTGGCAGAGCCCTAACCACATAAACGGAGGCCCTAGGGCTGTACTAATGTGCTCAGAATAGGGGGAAATTAACGCCAGCCAAAATGGGGTCCTCTGGATAAATAGGCATTTGCATGCAGTCATCTCCTGTAGGGTAGTTTATCAACACATGAAAAGACTTAGCCATGAACATGCTTGCTACAGCATCATTCATAATTACAAAAAGAAAAGAAGAGGAAAAAAAGAAACTATCAAATATCTCTAAATGTTGAACATCAGGGTCTGACTAAATAAGGAATGCTACATCCCTCCACGGAATGTACTCTGAAGTTGGCCAAGGTCATACTGCAGAAGGAATGTCAAGGAATGTCGTTCAGGGGTCTCGACTTGGGGTCCATGGACTCCCGAGGAGATGTTTCTAGAAGGGAGTTGGCATCACCTGAGATGCTTATTGAAGCATCCTGAGCCCCACTCCAGCCCAACAGAACCTGAACTTCTGGCTGGGAAGGCAGGAAACCTAATAGGATCCTCCAGATGATTCTTACACATGCTAAAGTGTGAGAATCCATGCCATGGGGATACTAAAATAGTTCAGAAACACGCTGGTATATTAAGAGAAAAAGAAGCTAGTTATATGCAAATTCAGTACATATTAAAGCAATCTCATTCATGTGTGTGTGTGTGTGTGTGTACTGATAGGTACTGAGGTGCCAAAAATGAACAGCAATTACCTCTAGATCACTGTTTCTCAACCTGGACCCCATTAACCTTTGGGGCCAGCTAATTCTCTGCTGTGGGTACCGCCCTGTGCATTGTGGGATGTTGAGCGGCATCCATGCTCTCTGCCCACCAGATGCCTATAGCCCCCCCAAGCAATCACAATAAAAAATGTCTCCAGGCTTTGCCAAATGTCCCCTGGGGGACAAGATGGTACCAGGCTGAAAACCACCACCCTAAATAGAAGGTCTGATAGACAATCTTTCACTTTGTTTTTAGTCCATCTGCCCATTGCCTTTAGTTTTTTCTAGAATGAACATCAAGTATTTGAGTCATGTAAAAAATCTGGTGTTTCTTAATATGCCCTTGCCTGTGCTGTCCCAAAAAAATACGCTCAGATGAAAAAATGTTTACATTAGTATTGATGGTTAAGTAAACTAATTTTATTATGAACTTCAAATAATTACGGCAAAGTACATACAAAGGCCTTCCCAATATCACTATTCCTTAAGAGGCTTTAAAATATTTATAACCTTTGGAATAGGCATCCTGATTTTAAGTATATGTCTTATAGAAGCAATTATATAGGAAATGCTTTACAAAGATAGTTGATTTTTTGCAGAGTCCCTTATAAAAACCAAAAAAGTATAAACACTCCAAAACCAACAATAGGAAACTAAGTATGGCACGTCCACTGGATGGACTATAATACGGGATTAAAATGATATTTACAAAGAGTTTGGAACAATGTGAAGGAAAGGTTTATGCTCTATTGTTAAGTGGTGAAAGAGTAGATACAAAATTGAACCTGTCACATCATCACTGACAAGTGTAACAATGATGACAACAACGAAAAGAATCTTGTGCAGGAACACAGCTAAGAGAAATACAACAAGGTGTGGAAAAGTGTCCATTGAACAGTGACATCCGAGGTGGTTTTTTCCTCTCCATTCTTCTAAAATGTCCATATTTTCTGTAATAAGCATATATGTATTTACAGTGAGAGAGAAAACAGTAAAATTTATTTTTTAAAAAACCTCAAATGATCACAAACAAAAATGTGCCAAAATTCCAGGTAAGAAATACATCTCCATACTGATCTATACACTAATTCCCATCCAGATGATAAAGATAACTTTGTTCCAAAACTTAACCATATTCAGAAAGTACAATATGAACTAAACGTGATTGTATCTACATTGATCAGCCCTGGGAAGGATCAGATGTAAGGATGATTATACTACTCAGATGAGCAGAGAAAGTTGTAGGTAGTCACATGATAACAGAAAACAATTTTTATGAAAAACAAACTGATCATTTTTCTTTCCCCAACCTGGAATCCCATTCTTTTAAAACAAAGGGTCTCATTTAAAAGGAGGTAAAATAATTTGGGTTCGATCAGAATGAACTAGCCAAGGCCAGATTTCAGCCGCCTCGTTGATGCTGAGCTAACTTGTTTACATTCATCTGGGGTGACAGACAATTCCAGCTCACAGCAAACACAACTGGTGCGGACAAAGGCAGCCCTCTTGCTTTTGTCCGGCAATGTCTGCCCAACCTGGCCATTCCCAGGTGGCTCCAGTGAATTCTCGTTAGGTCACTCCTCGGGCTTTGATGTGGACACAGACTATATCTTACAATAGACCTCAAAGAGAGAGGCAGCTGCGTGCATTCGGTAGAAAATAGAAAAAGGCATGGCCAGGTTGACCACAATTATCCAGGGTTCAAAGCCAAAGACAATCTCCTCTAATCCGTTGTCGTACTCGGGGCGGCAGCCAAAGGCGGGAGGGATCCAAAGCTGCAAGAGAAGAGGAGCCTGTTCTAGCAGCCGCCTCAGAAGCCCCACATGACCCCCAGGCGCTGGCCTGGACTCGGGGACACGGAGTCACACCTGTCTCCGCACCGCATTACACGTCTCCACGGAGCTGGTCAAATCCACGCAGCCCACCTGACCCTTCTCTCTTCCTCAGCCCCGTCCTGAGTGAACGCTGTTCACACCCACCTGATTCTCTCCATCCCCACAGCCCTCACCTCAGTAGGGTCCTCAGTATCCCCCACCTGCATGCCACAATTCCCCCAACTGCCCCCCCTCCCAACTCCAGCGGACGCCTTCCATCCACCCCTGACCCCACTGTGGGAGTGATCTTCGTAAAGCACACATCTGACCTTGTCATTCCTCTGCTTGTCACTCTCCAGTGACTCCCAACAGCCTTCAGGAGAGTCCAAATTCCCCCAGTGACTGGGCGCCTGTCCACGTTTCCATGTCCCTCATCATGCCCTTCACTCCAGCTTCCAAAAGCCAGATGTGCCTTTCTCCCTCAAGTCTTCAGGGCTTTGCTCCTGCCTCTTCCTCTGTCACCGGCTCCCTGTCTGCCTTTTTGACTGAATCCTACCTTCTTCCAAGTCCTGAGATACCACTCCTTCCAGGAAGCCCTCCTTGATCTAACCAGTCTGGGCAGGAACCCCCTATGTGTTCCCACAGCCCCCAGGGTTTGCCTACAGCAGAGGTCACCTGTTTATCACACCTGCCTTCACACACCAACATTGGTGCTGGGACATCCCAGCCACATGGGCCTGGGCCGCTGAGTTCTGTGGTCTCTCTGGCTTGACCTAGAGAGACAGCCCAGACCCT